TCTGAAAATTTGAGCGCGGATTTAAATCCAACTATCCATGAGCACGTTGTGTGGTACAAGAAACTACAAAAGCATTGTTAGGCGAATGCATCGGATTCTGAAGTTATTATCGATTTGAATAAAAACACAGCTGCTGCTTTAAATAAAAGATTCCAACGAAGCTCAGTCCAATTTCTGAGATTGTTTTTAAATCCTCCGTTTCAAAAGTTAGAGTTTTTATCTACAGAACAGCGCGAACATATAATAGGGACAGTAAAGGCAATAGAGCTGGAAAACTATCGATAGTTTTGATTAAAAAAGTCCAAAAATTAAACATAACAATTTTTATTGAAAACGAGGTCAGAATTGCAAAAATTTTTTGATAGTTTTGTTAATGAACAAAAACTTATCAACGACTTTTGGCTTCAATCAGCATTTTTATGTATGTATGTATGTATAAGTTAAAACTATTGATAATGCTTACAAGACCATCGATGTTTACGATAGTCAAAAACCATCGATACTATCGATAGTGCCATCGATAGTTTTCCAGCTCTAAAAGGCAATGCTTGAAGATAACTTAGCTAGAAATGTACTTGAAGAAAAGAGAGCTCGCCCTCAGCATGATTTCCAAATTCTGCATGATGACATTCCTTCTATCTCAAAAGGGCAAAAACCCGTGCAACTTTGGACAAATTTAAAGATTCAATAAATGAATCTGCAGAAACAGTTTTTGAAAAAATTAATACGAAAATAATAGATTTATTAAAAAAAAATCGGAAAACAAAAGTTGTGACGATGTTTTGAAAATTGGGAGAAAGCTAAAGATTTACCACTTCTTAGAAGTCTTTCAAGGCAAATTTTAAACATACCCTGAGCTAGCTGGTATGTGAAAAAGCAACTAGTGAAAAAGTTTATTCTGTGTCACGCAGAATTCTGGAAGAATGAATATTGATACCAATTCTTTTTTATACTCGTATTAGATTCATAAGTATATCTGAAATTTGTTAAAATAATAATAGTGCCTTCAGCCCTTGCTAGGCGTTTGACCAAGCCTTTGTAATAATACTTGTATTTTTTTGTATTGAGCTTGAGGCCGTTTTTAATGAAAAGCTTATTGTGGAAAAGCAATAGTAATTTAAAAAAATTGTAGAAGTGATAGCTATTTCGGAAAGCACCACATTTTCTCATCAGACTTCTTTCAATACATACCTAAATATATCACTGAGCACCCGAAATGTGTAGTGTTGCAGCGATTAATTTCCAATGTTTTCATTTTAAATATTTTTCGTTCCGCTACCAAGTTCATTCAGAGAGGATTGAATCAATTCAAAAACAATTCTTGCTTTTTGCGTTGCGTGACTTTAGCTGGGATTCAGATTACAATCTCCCCCCTTACACAAGTCTAAAGCTCATAAATTTGCCTACACTCGCAAGTCGTAGAGAAATGCTATGTATAATATTTATCGTAAAATTAATGACAGGCTTGATTAATAGCCCGGCCCTCCTGGCTGAGGTCAATTTTAATGTCCCCTCTCGAGTGTCAAGACACTTTCGACCTCTGTTTTTGAAGCCATGCAAAACTAATTTTGAACTAAACGAATCATTTATGTCAAGATTTTAACTCTCATTCCAGCACGTTTGATATATCGGACTCGATTTTTACTATAAAGAAAACTATCATTTCCACTCTCAATAATTGAAATACTATTTTTAGCATATCCAATCAGCGGATGAATTTGATTCTGTAGCGGAATAGTTTTAGATCTCGACACTTAACAAACTCAAATTCCTAACTGTGATGCAAACTTGATAGAACTCTAAAACTGTCTTCAAATTTCCAACTTTTTAATCAGTTTTTTTTTTTAATATTTCGAGTATTGTTGCAAAAGTTCTGTTTTTTTTTAATTGTGTTTCTAGCAGTAAACGGAAATTCGCAACGTTCCGAATAAATAAAAAAAAATTGTCCCTACGTTTGAAAGGCAGTTAAAAAATGCGTATAATTTTCGTCACGAAATTGATATCATAAATTTTGTGTTTCTAGTTCAGCTTTCGTCACTCGAAAATTTTACCTCAAAGAGGTGTTTTATTTGATACAATTTAACGCTGAGTTATCACAAAAAAGCATTCAATATATCACCGTTTTTTTCTCATTTTTCAAACGACTTTGTTTAGATTTTTAATTACAAGTAACACGGAAATACACGTTATACGTAACAAATATAAATTATTTTTAAGAATAACGGTTTTAGAAAATGAAGGAATAACTGACACTTTATGTTCTTAGTTTTAGAGCACAATTTGCCTCAGTAAGTAACTTAGTGCAAAACAAATAGCATAAAATGAATTATTTTTTATTTACAAAATTGTATGCGTGCTAATTTATAGAAAAGGCTCTATGCTATATTTCTTAGAACCATCTCAAAACTAACCACATTTTTTCTAGCTCGGAGGTGGCCCTTTTTGAACTATGTAGGAACTGTTGTTATATGAACTGTCTCAGAACCGTCTAACCTGAGTCAGCTCAGAACAAGTTCAAAAGTTTTGCAGAGGGCGACAATTGTCACTTCGAAGGACATCGCCATGTTAAAAAAGACAGTTGAAAGCATTGATTTGGGGTAGATGAAGCACCAGTACCGTCCCTTTTCAGGCTAGCTCAGCGAAAGTTCTGAACCAGATTGATTTCCTGCAGGGAAGTGCTTCTTGAGTGTATGCAATAAAAGGTTAAAGAATAACACTTAGAAAAATACCAATACAAGAATGAAAGTTAAGGTGAATACGTTCATAGATAAAGAAAAGGATAAAGGCAAAGGTAAAAATAAAAACAAAAACAAAGATGCGCAAAGATTAAGGCAAAAATGAAGACCAAGGAAAATTTAAACACTTTACTTTTATAAGGACAAAGTTGAAGGGAATTATGTAGATGAAGAAAATGATAAACATAAAAGTAAAAACAAAGATAAATATAAAAAAAGATGAGGATGAGGATACCGATAAAAGTAAAGATGAAGGTAGAGGAAAAAAGACTAAAATAAAGGTAATAAAAGAGGAAAGGATATAGATACGGTGACCATAAATATGGATTCAAAATGAAGGACAATTTTTCAAAAATATGCCTACATATATTTACGCAGTATACAAATATCAAAAGAGTATTTATGATTCTAAGTATTAAGAATACATTTTAAACTTTAAAAATGAATCACGTTTTCTTAATCGATATTAATCTTTTTTTATATGCATATTTATAAAAGTATAGTAAAACTTATTATAATTACAATAGCTTACACGAAAAGTGAAACTCTTTAAAAGATTATTTTATAGTCAAATTTTGAGTCGTTCAAAATAAAAACAATACCTTTTTTTTTTGTTTTTTGGTACTTTTCGCAGTTATTTGTCAAAAATCGACGTCATGAATCGACGTAAACGACGAGTTATAAAGTGCCCTTTACAAAAATATATAATTAGTGCCGATTGCGCTCCATAGCATCTTCAATTCTAATCCGATTTTCATTATCTTTGGCTCAAAATTTACTGTAATGATATATCTTCTTTATCGAATTTTTAAAATAATGAAAAAAATAATCAAATGAAACTGCGTATTTGATTGAAAATCTTTCTTTTTTCGACTTTGACGACAAAATGCAAATGGTCGCCTGTAGCACTAATAATTTTCATTGAAGTCGCCACAAGTTATATATTTTGGTATGAGGCACATTAATACCCTTCGAGCTGTAAGTCGCTTACGTTGATTGGGAGATTTATTCATGAGATATTGAAGAAAAGCTACGAAAAGTACCAAAAACACACTTTTTTGAAAAAGATCCATCCATTGTCCGATAATTTTAAAATAACGAATAAAATGCAGGACACTTGGAAAAAATCAGTACATTTTCAGGTTTTTCAGGACCTTTGAAAAACAGTACGGTCCCGCAAAAAACAGAACGGATGGTCACCGTAGATATAGAGAGAGACACAGAGACTCAATCTGGGAACTATTTTGGGATTCTAGAGATTTTCGGGATTATCGGGACTTATCGATATAATAATCGATATTTTTGTCGGTTTTGTTATCGATTTTGTTATCGGAAATTTTATCGATTTCGCTATCGATATCTTCGAAACTTATCGATATAATAATCGATAATTTTATCGATTTTGCAATCGATATTATTAACGATTTTGTTATCGATAATGTTATTAGTTTTATTATCGATATTGTTATAGATTTTGCTATCGATATTTTTATCGTATTTATTATCGATATTTTTATCGATTTTTTATTCGATTATTCTTCGATTTTGTTATCGATTACTTATAGATTTGGTTATTTGTTTTGCTATTGACTCTGTTATACATTATTTGTCGATTTTGTTGTCTGTTTTGTCTGTTTCGTTATCGATTTTGCTGACGATATTTTTATCGAATTTTTTTATCGATATTTGTATCGATTTTGTTATCGATATTTTATTGGATGTTACCATAGGTTTTGTTATCGATAGAGAATAAAGATAAAAATGGAGATAAAGGAAAACAGAATAACATAAATGTAATTAGAACGAACAGCGGTAGAGATTAGATCCCTATATGTGACCTGGTCTACGGAAAGGGGGCTTAGGTGTCAAAAAATCAATTTTCACTTTTTGGTTGATTCGGATGGAAGATGAGATGCTTTTTCACGTGGTGAAAAGCAGAAAATCCTAACTTGCTTAGAAGTGNTTAAGGCTCTGTTATGCATACTTGGCATTGCATGCACTGCTATACCATTTTTACGTAGAAATCAAAAACCAACAGACTTCTACGTATGTAGTGCTGTGCGTTCGATAACCGATTACACGCGAGGCTCATTTAACAGATTTCTTATGTGACAGCTCTCAAGCCATGCCAAGTATGCATAACGGAGCCTTTATACTTTTAACAGCTTTTTCACAGAAAACTAGTTTTCGCACGTAAGCTCCCTTTTCGTAGACCAGGTCACATATAGAAAAAAAGAGAAGAAATATAACCTTAAGCAAAAACAGATGTATGTACATATGTATGTATATTGGTTATGAGACAAAATAGATATGTAACGTAAGTTTCACTTCTCCAGTGTGGCCCAGGTGCACTTACTTTTTTACTTAAGTTTAAATACTGAATATCTGCAAGTATGTCTTTAATGCATTCACCCAATTTCGGGGGGCTATTACTAGTAATAATAATAATCATAGACTGCCGCTGACATATATGTTATGGCGTTTTCTTTTCTCGAAAAAAAGCTGCACTTATTCTGCCCTGAATTAACGTTGTCAAATTTTCATGTACTTTTATCAGCCTTTTCACAGAGCGTCGTGTTCTTTTCTCAGCACGTTGCGCTCTGATCCGGCAAAAGTGCTGCCTTTTCTGCCCTCAAATAAAAGTGAGGGTGAGGGTTGCTCGGTTAATTTACGCTTGTAAAAATAAAATTATATTCCGTATCAGATATAAGTATTTTCCTACAGGGTTCGTATTTGCACACACATGCTCTGCTCACACACACGCCAGAAACACATTCAACTTGTACTCACTGCTCATACACATGTGTGTGCATAAGTGGAAAACAAACTCTGCTCACAGAAAAGTGTGTGCTGTTTGTTATTAAGCACATGCACATGTGTGTGAGCCGATTTTTGTACAAATTTCAGCCCATGCACATGCACATAATATATTTTTAAAAGAATTTGTTTATTAAACGTTATTTTTTGAAAGACAATTCAATAACAAGTGAGGTGTTGTTTGTTTTTTATATGACAGAAAACATATTAAAAAATTATTTTAAGATTTGAGATAGAAATCGAAGTGTATAAGTTTCTCTACGCAAAGCACACACATGTGCGTGTGCTTTATATTAATAAAAATAAAGTACACACATGTGCCCGTGCTTTTTACCAAACAGCACACACATGTGATGTGAGCAAGTTTTTAATTTTTTATATGCACAGCACACGTGTGTGAGCGTAAAATGTTAGGATGTGCTGCGCATGTGTGTGCAAATACGAACCCTGTTTTCCTATGAATTAATTAAAGACTTACAGTGCAAGTGAACAATTCAGTTTTTTAAGCTCTACAAATTAACTTCTGATGGAGTAGCATATTTTCTGTTTCATTCTCATATGAAGAACGCAACATTTTCTCAGGTCTCAGGTATGCAGCTCTCAAGAAAATTTTGACATCTGGTACTTCCTGTATGTTGAGTAATTCTTCAAAACTTGAGGAATTTGGGGAGCGCTTGAGTATTTTTTGAGGAATTTTCTCTCGATATATTTGCAGATAACAAATGCAACCATGTTTTTCACAAGAGTTGTTAAATCGCTCTGCAAATTTTTAAACAAAAATCTTTCCGATGTTTTATAAAGAGCGAAATGCACCACACAAGCGGTTTGTCAAATATTCTTCAAACCTACTTTTCCCATTTCGCCATACACCATGCAAACATGACTCGTTCAAGCAAAGAATTTTAATTTTCTTCCGGCTCACAATGTAAAAGGGTTTGGTTTTCTTCGATTTTTCTCTCTTGCGTCCTCATTCGGTAAAAATTCCGTTGCGAATGAGGCGATTTTATCATACACAACGTAAGCGGTTTTATCAAACGTCAAACCTTCAAAAACCCCCATACACAACATAAATAGCTTCAAGCAAAGGGATATTTCGCCTTTCTGCATGTGTTGCTAAATATTCAAAATGTCATCGATAATTTTTTTTATTACATCGTTATATTTTCAATTTGTTTTGAACTTGCAAAATCTCGATAACGAATTGTTAGATCATAAGGATATTCATATTGATTCTTCATTATATCCAGAAAATTTTAGGAAAACAAGTTTTTGAATTAAGAGATTAAGAGAGGTTCATATAAGATTCCCAATTAAAAAAATATATATCTGCATTACTAGTAGTTTAAAAATGTGTAGGACTGACTTGAGGACCAGATTGAGCACTGATATAGTTGCAGAAATATTATATACAAACCAAGGCATAAAAAATAACGGTGATACTTTGTTTGAACCGCAAGAACAAATGTACCAATTGTATTGGAGAATGTAATTAATTTTTATGCTAATTACCTGTAAATAGTAAATAAGAAAATTTTGAGTAATTTGTTCGGATTTTGAGAATTTTTCATTTATTTTGGAGGAATTTGATATCTTTTGTGGCAACACTGGGTACTTCACCAGCCTGTTGCCTCACTCTTTCCTCAAGAAATAATGGAACGGGCATATAAAGGGTGATTTTTTAAGAGCTTGATAACTTTTTTTTAAAAAAAAACGCATAAAATTTGCAAAATCTCATCGGTTCTTTATGACGGTCCATGACATTTACTTTTTGAAGATAATTTCATTTAAANCGAACCGAACACTGATTTTGGTAATAAAATTCAATGATTTGCAAGCGTTGCTCGTTAGTAAGTCTATTCATGATGAAATGTCAAAGCATACTGAGCATCTTTCTCTTTGACACCATGTCTGAAATCCCACGTGATCTGTCAAATACTAATGCATGAAAATCCTAACCTCAAAAAAATCACCCGTTATGTATTTCTGTTGCAAGCATGGGTTGCCTTGTGCTCTTTCTTCACAAAAAACTTTAGAAAACCATAGTAGAAAGCGTATCGAATTTCTTGAGAACTGCGTACTGCCCCAAGAAAATTTTACACAAGAAAATTTCTTGGCCATTTCTTGTACGTCATTTGTGTGGCGTGCGCCTTGATGTTGTCACACAAAGTGGGGGGAACTACAATTTTACGACATCATCGAACGGCGGTTGTATTTTTATGAGAAGCCGTTTCTCATGGCAGAAATACACTCGGCGGTTTGCTATTGCCTGCCAAGGGGCGACCGCTGTTAAGAAAAATCTTTCTTTTTATACCCGAGCGCACTTGTGCACAAGGGTATTATAACTTTGTTCACATAACGGTTGTTTGTAACAGGCAAAACGAATCGAGATAGATATAGACAAATGTATACATAAATGATCAGAATGAAAAGAGAAATCGATTAAGCGGTGACTGTCTGTCCGTCCGTCCGTCCGTCCGTCTGTGCACACGATAACTCGAGTAAAAATTGAGATATCTTAACGAAACTTGGTACGTGAACTTCTTTTGGGCGTGGGACGGATGGTATTGAAAATGGGCGAAATCGGATAATAACCACGCCTACCTCCCATATAACGGTAATTTTAAGAAATACGAAAACTGCGATATTTTAGTAACTACTGAAGATAATTCACTCAAAATTGATATTTACAATGAGTTTTAGACGAAAAATAAGAATATTAAAAAATTTTGGCAAATGGGCGTAGCCACGCCTACTTATGGTTACATGTGTATATCTTGGTAACCGCTGCACCAATTTCTTCCAAACTTCCTGCTACAACATACCTTCTTTGCTTTTATGTGGCAAGCACAATAACCATACCGAGTTTGGTTCAAATTGCTAGAACGGTTAGCGAGATACATATATGTGATCATAAGTGGGCGGTGCCACGCCCATTTTCCAAATTGTATCATAAGCGTATTTCTTGGTAAAAAATTGTTGCAACCATCAATTTTGAATAAATTAGCTTTAATATTTACTGATTTATCGGGGATTTCGTATTTTTCTAAATTACCGTTATATGGGAAGTGGGCGTGGTTATTGTCCGATTTTAAAAATTTTGGTATGTTGTAGCAGGAAGTTTGGAAGAAATTGGTGCAGCGGTTACCAAGATATACACATGTAACCATAAGTAGGCGTGGCTACGCCCATTTGCCAAAATTTTTTAATATTCTTATTTTTCGTCTAAAACTCATTGTAAATATCAATTTGAGTGAATTATCTTCAGTAGTTACTAAAATATCGCACTTTTCGTATTTCTGAAAATTACCGTTATAGGGAGGTAGGCGTGGTTATTGTCCGATTTCGCCATTTTCAATACCATCCGTCCCATGCCCAAAAGAAGTCCACGTCCCAAGTTTCGTTAAGATATCTCAATTTTTACTCGAGTTATCGTGTGCACAGACGGACGGACGGACGGACGGACGGACAGACAGTCACCGCTTAATCGATTTCTCTTTTCATTCTGATCATTTATGTATACATTTGTCTATATCTATCTCGATTCGTTTTGCCTGTTACAAACAACCGTTATGTGAACAAAGTTATAATACCCTTGTGCACAAGTGCGCTCGGGTATAAAAAGAAAGATTTTTCTTAACAGCGGTCGCCCCTTGGCAGGCAATAGCAAACCGCCGAGTGTATTTCTGCCATGAGAAACGGCTTCTCATAAAAATACAACCGCCGTTCGATGATGTCGTAAAATTGTAGTTCCCCCCACTTTGTGTGACAACATCAAGGCGCACGCCACACAAATGACGTACAAGAAATGGCCAAGAAATTTTCTTGTGTAAAATTTTCTTGGGGCAGTACGCAGTTCTCAAGAAATTCGATACGCTTTCTACTATGGTTTTCTAAAGTTTTTTGTGAAGAAAGAGCACAAGGCAACCCATGCTTGCAACAGAAATACATATATGCCCGTTCCATTATTTCTTGAGGAAAGAGTGAGGCAACAGGCTGGTGAAGTACCCAGTGTTGCCACAAAAGATATCAAATTCCTCCAAAATAAATGAAAAATTCTCAAAATCCGAACAAATTACTCAAAATTTTCTTATTTACTATTTACAGGTAATTAGCATAAAAATTAATTACATTCTCCAATACAATTGGTACATTTGTTCTTGCGGTTCAAACAAAGTATCACCGTTATTTTTTATGCCTTGGTTTGTATATAATATTTCTGCAACTATATCAGTGCTCAATCTGGTCCTCAAGTCAGTCCTACACATTTTTAAACTACTAGTAATGCAGATATATATTTTTTTAATTGGGAATCTTATATGAACCTCTCTTAATCTCTTAATTCAAAAACTTGTTTTCCTAAAATTTT